AGATGTGAGGGGAGAAGTGCTTGAAGAGGAGAAAATGTTTTTCTTTTGCTATTTGGCAAAGTATTAGGCATTCATTCCACACAACTGCTTCACTTAGGATTCTTAGTGGCAAGCAACAGAAACTAATTCCAGTAGATAGGAGCAGAGAAGGCATGAATTGAAAATGCACTAAAGTAGCTCACAGAATAGCTGGGAAGACTAGAGAAGGAGGCTTGGGCAATGGGCAGGCCCAAGGGTGAGCTACCAACCTGAAAGAATTCTCTGATGCTGTGTCTTCAAGATCTTTGGCAGGTGCACATGCCTGACTGAGCCCAGACTGCATGCAATGTCATGAGTTCCAGGAGATCTGGGGAAGCAAGTGTCTGGCATTTCCCAGCTTTTATGATAAGAGGTGGCTCTGGCCCTGGCCAGTTTGCTCAGTGGTTAGAGCATCAGCCTGCGGTCCACAGAGACCCGGGTTCGGTTCCCGCTAAGGGCATGTACCTTGACTGCAGTTTGTCCTCAGCCCTGGTTGGGTTGTGTGGGTGGCAGCCACTCGATGTGTCCCTTTCACATCGATGTTTCTCTCTCTCTCTTCCTCTCTCTCCCTCCCGCTCTATCTGAAAAAAAAAATGGAAAAATGTCCTTGGGTGAGGATTAAAAAAAAAAAAAAGAGGTGGCTCTGACTCTCACTATGGCTTGTAATGTGGGAATTTCCCAAAGATGAAAAGGGATTCACATTAGGCAGCCAAAATTTATTAGAGTCTGCTACCCTTCCAGCTGGCTGAAAGTCCAGGGTCCAGCATTCTGAATTTCTTCTCTCTGACTTTTTGCCATACCTGCTTAGAAAACCCTCAACACTGAGTAAACACAATCACCACATATGATGAGTCTCAGCTGGTTAAAACAACTGAGGCAGTACATACGATTGGTCACGAGTCTTTTGTCTATTGCTAGTAAACTCTATAATGGTTCTAAACCCATTTCTAACCTCTTGCTCACTCTATAGAAATTTAATTCTGTACATGTATTTAGAGAGATGTGTTCTAGGAGATTCTGATGAATACATACGGTTGGCAAACATGTTTTAGTTTCTTTTTTCCCATTTCCCACAGCTTTTTTACAAACCATTTCTACTTTTCTGAATTCCCCCACCGCTATGCAACCAGTCTCAGCCAGTGACCCTTCCATCAGCGGGAAAACTTGGCCATCTAATGCAACACCATCAACTTCTCTCTCCTTCAACTTAAAATGTCTTCTTGTCTTTACCCATTCCATCCTCCTGCCCTGCTTTATTAGTTTTTCTTTCTGAGGCCCAACTGGCTACCGGTGCTCACCTGGATGCTCTCTGGTCTAATCTGAGACCTAATACTTATCTTCCTTCTGACTGTGGTTTTAAGCTCATTTCTATGATGCCTAATTCTCTTCGACCCTGAAACATCCAAGTTTCATCTGACTTAACCTTCAACTTGACCCTTCTTCCCATAGACCACCTTCCTGTCCCTCTTGTCCCCTACCCCTTCATCCTTCACATCCAAAGATTGTAAAGGAGTGGTTCGTGCCCATGGATGCTTCTCCCCCACCTTTCACTCATTCTCCACTCTCCGTAAGTGTTTCCAGGTTCATCTTCCACACACACACCGCTCTTCCAGTGTCACCCATGGCTTCCTGATGACCCAAGCTAATGGCCTCTTCTTAGTTTGTGTCCTTGACTTCTCAGAAGCATCTGACCCTGTTGAAAACCCCTTTCCTCCTGTTGTGGAAACAAGCATCCCTAATTTTTCCTTCTGTTTCTCAGATCATACATTCTTGGCCTCCTCGCCTGGGTTTTCTCTTCTCCTTGTTCTATTTTCTCCCTCTGGCCATTCTCATTTCTTTAACTATAACCTCAAAGCAAATGGCACCAGATATGTGTCACCAATCCTGATTATCCTATCCTGAGGTTCATATCTTTCCAGCTGGTCACTTTATTTTTTTATTAATTTATTTTTGTTACAGCTGTTTCTCCTTTTCCCCCCATTGATATCCTCCTCCCGATCCCACCCCGCCCCCACCCCCAGCATTGTTGTCTATGTCCATTGATTACACATACATGCATATAAGTTCTGTGGTTTATCTCTTCCCTTCCCCTATCCCCCTCTTCTGAGGTTTGTTAGTCTGTACCCTACTTCTATGTCTCTGGGTCTGTTTTGTTTATCAGTTTGTTTTGTTCATTATATTCCATAAATAAGTGAGGTCATGTGATATTTTTCTTTCTCTGATTGGCTTGTTTCACTTAGGATAATACTCTCCAGGTCCCTCCATGTCATCTTAAAGGATAAGAAATGTTTCTTTCTTACAGCTGCGTAGTATTCTATTGTGTATATGTACCACAGCTTTTTTTTTTCTTTATTGATTTTAGAGGGAGAGAGAGAGAGAGAAACATCGATGAGGGAGAACATCGATTGGCCGCCTCCCGCATGTCTCCCACTGGGGATCAGGCCCACAACCTGGGCATGTGCTCTAACTGGGAACTGAACTGGCGACCTCTTGGTGCATGGGTCGATGCTCACCCACTGAACCACACCGGCTGAGCTGTATCACAGCTTTTCTTATCCACTCATCTATTGATGGACATTTGGGCTGTTTCCAGATCTTAGCGATTGTAAATAGTGCTGCTATGAACATAGGGGTCCATACATTCTTTCTGATTGGTGTTTCAGGCTTCTTAGGGTATATTCCTAGAAGTGGGATCACTGGGACAAATGACAGTTCAATTTTTAATTTTTTGTTTTCTATAGTGGCTGCACCAGTTTGCATTCCCACCTCCAGCTGGTTACTTTAAAGGGTGCTCAGGCCCTTCTCCCACCCCATCTCCTCTTTCAGGACTCCTTTTAAAAAATGTTTAATTTAATTTTTTATTATTAATTTTTCCTTCACCATTTATCCCCTTATACCCTCTTCCACCTCCCCCACCCCCTCCCCCTGTAGTCACTATACTGTTAACCTTGTCCATGAGTTCTTTTTCTTTCTTTCCCTTTTTGCTCAATCCCTTCACCCCCACCCCCACAGCACCCCCTACCAGATCTGTCTGCTTGCCATTGTGGTAAAATATACACAACATCAACTTTACCAACGAAACCACTTTCAAGTGTACTCTTCAGCGTCACAAGGCCATCCACATTGTGTGCTCCTCTAAGTGTTAAGAACGTGGGCTTTGCAGAGTCTGATCTGAGTTTTAATCCCAGCCCTATTTCTATACCTCTCTGGCCTCACTTTCTTCATCATGTTCTTTTCTACTCATGTTGGGTAGGCACTCTCCTGCAGTAATGACCGTTTTGTTTATGTGTGAGCGAACCCCCTCCGAGGACTTGGCCTGCTGGAGCTGATGCTGGAAGTAAAGAGAAAAAGAGCGCTTTAAAGACACTGATGGGCGCTGGCTGGTTTGGCTCAGCGGTAGAGCATCGGCCTGCGGTCCCGAGAGACCCGGGTTCGGTTCCTGCTAAGGGCAAGTACCTCGGTTGCAGTTAGTCCCTGGCCCTGGTCGCTCATGCGAGTGAAATAAAGACACTGATGGGTCTTAGCCAGAGGCAGAGGTTTGGATATGTTGGAGTGGAATTGTCGGGTCTGGCACTGGCTTGGCTTTATGACACAAACGGCCCCACCTACTCCCGCTATGAAAAGGAAGGGAAAACAATCGATCAGGAAAACTGGGTGACTGCTTCAGTCTTCCGGCGGGGTAGTAATTGATCATCAAGTGACAGGTAAAACCTCTGTGAAAGTTGAAAGGGTGATTTAGTTGATTTGTAAGAATTTGTCCAGAAAAAGGAGATGTGGGGGAATTTGATGTGCATACCTTTTAAAACGTACACCTTAGGCCCTGCATTTAGAGAAACATCAAGGATCTTAAAAGGATGCACTGGCTTTTATTGGGTGTTTATTTCATTTTTTGGAGGAAAGTCGGCTAATGAATGTTGGGGATTCTAGTAGGTCTGTCCTGAATGTTAAGAAATATTTTTGTTCGTTTTTAGCATTTATTTCCTTTTGGATTGATCTTATCCATCTCTCATATCCTGCTCAGGGCCTATCACAAAAGACACACTGTCGCCCTGTCTTCTGTTTGGGTAAAGAAGAGGTGAAGTATTTTAGTGACCAGATCCTACTTTTCCTTTTAGAGACTATATTGAAGTAAAGACCCCCAATAAATTTCAGCCCAGAATGTCACAGGGTAAGAATAGAACAGATTACCCTTTACAAAGCACCTTTAAATACTTTATCTCATTCATTACTGACAACTTTGTGAGGGTAGCTACTGTGACCCTTCATTTTTTTTCCTGATGAGGAAACAGGTTCAGAGTGGTTCAGTGAGTTGCCCAAGGTTGCACAGTTAAATTATCTAGCCCAGCCTAGCTGAGCACCCAGGATTACAAACACATTTGACCTCACAGAGGGTTGTTTTGGGCTTGGCTGGTGGCCTTGATGTTTGAGGACCAGCCACCTAAGGCATGTGGGAGAGGCAGCCCTTCCCTATTGGAAATGCCCCCACGTGGAGCCCAAGCATCTGGCATGAACTGGAAGGCGGCTAGAACACTCAGTGGCCACAGCTGGAACGTAAGGGCATGTACTCATTCTTGGCTGGCATTTGGTCCCTGGAGGCGCCACCTCGTCCTACTTTGGCCCCAGACAGCGCGTCCAACCAGGTGCGCCAGCTGTGCGCCCCAGGTGCTGCCCGCACGCACGCTGCCGGTCCGCACCTTGGGGACCCCACTCTCACCCGGCGGCAACAGCCTCAACGTCTCGTGCCCGCCTAGAGCCGCCCGGGCAGCGGCCGCGGGCCCCGCACACCCCGGGGCGGAGCGAGGCGCCGAGACGTCAGGGCGGAGACCGAGCACGGGGCGAGCGCGCCCTCCCCGCGGCTGCCCGCGGCCCAAGTTCCGGACTAGCGCGGCCGGCGGCGGCGGCGGGGAGATGCAGTTAGCGGCGGCGCTGGGGCGCAGCCAGGCGGCCGGGCGGGCGGGGGCCAGAGGCTGAGCCCGGGCCAGCCAGCCGGGCGAGCCAGCCGCGAGCAGAGCTCTGCCCGCAGCCCCCGGAGCGGATCCCAGCCGCCCCTTGGCTATCCCCGGGTTCTAGCAAAAAACCCCGGGGTGCCCATCAATTTCCTTGAGTGATTACAGCGTGTTTCTTTCTTTTTTCTTTTTTTATCCTTTCCCCTCCTGTGTGCCCTTCTCCAGGATGGCAGAAGCTGAATTGCACAAGGAAAGGCTGCAAGCCATAGCCGTAAGTCCACTTTCATTTTATTTTCTTGCTCTATTGTCTGAGATGCAAAGGGACCCTGAGTGTTTGGGGCCATCGACATTCCAGCACAGTAGCCGCGGGGCATGTGTTTGGGGGATAAAAGTCTGTCAAGGCGCAACTAGGCTGCTTTTTCTTTTACAAGTCTGTACATAGAAACCCCCAGGGCGTGCGTTGGGCTGGGGATTTGAATGTGGAAAATTGGCTTAGAAATAAGATGCTTGCTACTGGGCTTTGGGGAAAGACTAAACAGACGCGTGGTTGGGGGGCGGGGGGTGGCGATTCCTGGAATATTATCACCCAGGGCTCAGTAATACCTCTGACTTCATACCCTGAAGAACGGAGAGATCTGTGACCGGAACGGTGGCTGCCATCCTCTCTGCGGAAACGTTTCTCTGCTAAGTGGAAAACCAGCAGTCAGCTCCACTGCCAGCCACGCGGTGGAACCTCCTCCTGAAACCAACCAGGAGTGTTAATTATCAATTCTACTTGATATTGACAAGGGCAGTGGCGCCAGCCACCACCCTGGATGGGTGGACTTCTTATAACATCTGGGTCCTGGGAATAATATCACCAGAGAATCTCTTTCTTCTGGGTGTGGATAATCTAAAAACCTACTTTCAGCTTGCAAAGGAGCAGCCAGTTTTGGCAAATTTTTTATGCACTTTCAGAAAAGTGTACCCATGTGTATTTTGGTAAGGAAAAAAAAAAAAGAGAGAGAGAGAGAGAGAACTCAGCGACTGCCTAGATTTGAGCAAGCTTCCAGTGTTGCCAATGATCCACAGATGTGGTATTTTTACTGGAGCCCACCACAGCTGGATTATATATTTCCTTTGCAGATGAGGGAATGATTACTGCTGCTATATGAAATAATAACAATTAAAAGGAAGGTCTGTTAACATATTGGCATACAGGAATCTCCAGACATTTTTCTACTTAAGTATTTTTTTTTTTTTTTTTTTGGTCCAAGAGTTCCCTGGAAACACATAAATTTATTGGAGAAATAGTGTGTAATGTTTTGGAAGCAAAGCATATTAAAGTGTTTTAAAAATCCTTTGGACAGATTCTTTATTGGGAAAAACGCACACAGTCCCTTCTTTTTTAAAGAAGCATTTGATATGGTCTTTGCGGCTCTGAGACCCTCTTTATCAAACTCTTCAAATCTTAACTGTCTTAGAGAGTTTACCACTGAAGTGAGAGGAGAGTTTTTGGCAATATTGAAATACAGTGGTTTGCCTATCGAACAATCTTTTGAGTTCTGGTCCTCAGAACTCAGGAAGGCTGTTTTTTGTTTTTTTTTCCTTTCCCTTTCCCTTTGTGCATGCATATTTGGATGGTTAACGAAGTTGTTCATGGTTTCTGAAGTTAGTGGCCAGTGTGTCGTGAGCTCGATAAGAATGGAGATATTCACTTATTGGTGCCATGTAGCTGGTGGGTGTTTTATATAAACTGAATAATAGGCTGCTTGAACTGTCCATGAAGTGGCTGCTCCAGAGAATGTTCAGTTGCTCCCACAGGCTGCTGCGGAAGGTTTCCAACAGTTGTCACAGTTTCTGCCTTTGCATGACCAGCTTTGCTGGATGCCCGAGGAACAGCTGAGCTTCATGAAAGGACTTGCTTTCTGAACGGGGAGCCAGTAGCAGCTAACACTGGGGCCACCCCTTTCCAAGTGGGGTTGGGTAATCCCAGCAGGGGTCACGTGCAGTTTCAAGAAAGAACTAGACAACTTTTTGGAATTCTCATGCGTGTATGAGAAGAAGAAACGCAAATACTCGTGTTTATTTAGTTATGGAATTGAGTTTGTCCTATGTCCCTGGACAGGTGTTGATGATTCTCTTGAATGTATCTGCCGCAATGTATATACAGTGATACCTCGGTTCTCGAACATAATTCGTTCCAGGAGGACGGTCGAGAACCAAATTGTTCGAGAACCGAAGCAATGAAACCCAATAGGAAATAATGGAAACTGGATTAATTCGTTCCAAGCCCCAGAAAATGCCTATTTACTGGCCTAATTTGTATATAATATGTAGAAAAACATAAGTCTCAACAAGAAATAAAAGTGTACAGTATGTCTAAGGGTTAAATTCAGTGTAAAGCGTGACTCTCTCCACAAAGCGTGACTCTCTCTCTGCACTCACACTGATGACGCGAGCAAGGCGCGCTGGGCCGAATGAACGCCATTCGGCTCCACTCGGCTCATCTCGGAAGTTCGAGTTCCAAATATTTGTTCGGATTCCGAGACAAAAGTTCCTCGAATCTCCTGGTCGAATACCGATTTGGTCGAAATCCGAGGCGTTCGAGAACCGAGGTATCACTGTATATGTTGTTGTCAGTGCAGGTTCTCTAACAGTGAAGTCTCTTGTGTGTGTGTGAGAGAGAGAACAAGAGATGGGGAGTGGGAGTGGGGGCTTGTGACCACATTATAATTCACTCTATGTCATGCTTTGGCTTTATTTTTTAATTTTTTTTATTGATTTTAGAGAGAGAGAAAGGGAGAGGGAGAGAGAGAGAGATAGAAACATCCATGAGAGAGAATATCGACTGGCTGCCTCCTGCACGACCCCCACTGGGGATCGGGCTCACAACCTGGGCATATGCTCTGACCGGGAATCGAACTGGCGACCTCTTGGTGCATGGGTCCATGCTCAACCACTGAGCCACACCGGCTGGGCTCACGCTTTGGCTTTAGTGCACAGTCTCCAAATTCGGCAAACCCTGCCTCTCTCTGTAGAGTTTTCAAGAACTCTCAGGCTGGGATGCTCACAAACCAGGTCCATTGGGGGTGCTGAGGCAGCCCCCATTCCTGTCTGCACTGCTGCCTTGTCCGGTGGGGGTTAGAGGCAACACGTTTGAAGGGGAAAGAGTCTGCGTCACCCCTTTTATTCTTCCCTTCCACTGATGGAAGGCCAGGGCTCTGCCAGCGTCACCTCCTCCAGCTGCTTCAGACACAGGTGCAGTGACGTCACTTGAGGATTCGTCCAACATTTTCTTACAGAATGCTCCCTCTGGGAAGTTACTGGCAACACCAAAAAGTCAGCGTCCCCAGGTTTCAGCCACCAGAGGGGAGACTGTACCCTTTGTCCACGTTCCGAAAGGTCTTGTGACCCAGGATACTGTCATATGATCATATGAAATACTCAGAAACGATGGCTCTTTAACTGAATCTTCCAGCTGAGTCCAGGGACCCACCAGTGAGCAAGGATGAATCTCATTCTGTTTCTTGCCCAGAGCAGCACCGGGTCCCTCTCTGACCCCTGCCTCTGCTCCAGTTGCTCCTTCCGTCTGTGGGGACACTCCCAGAGCTGTAATGTCAGAACACGGCCAGATGCCTCTGTGGCAGAATGAATGTGAGAGAGAGTTCCAGGGACTAGCGATACAATGGCCAGTTATTGAACATTATTCAGCAAGGCACTGCGTGACCTGCTTTTCTTGGTTACAGATGTCCCTCCTTTCCCCCCATTGACATCCACCGTCCCGTTCCTGTCCCCTCTGCTTTTTTTTCCCATCCTGAAATTGTTAATGGTCTAAAGGAGGAAATGAACAGCACATAAACGATTACGGTACAGTGCCAGGAGCGAATGGGCACACATGTGGGGCATGTAAACCAACTTCAGGGCATGTGGACACTTCCCCAGAGAGACCTTGGAGCAAATCTGGAAGCTGGGGAGAAATAAAATATGAAAAAAACATCATGACCTTCCCAATTAGCAGAAGGCATTTACTTACTTGTTTGTTGTTAGTTTCTTGATTATTTACTTGGAACAGTTAGTATGAGAAAGGAAAAGCCGAAAGCATGAAGAAGTTAAGTCAGTAGCTAATGGTACAAACTCAGTAATAAGACTGAAGGGCATTTTAACATGTACTATGTCCTTTAATCTTAATAACAAGCTGTTGAGGTGGGAAGAACTATATTAGCCATGTTTCATAGATGAAGAATCCAACGTTCACAGACAATGTCGAAGCCAGGATTTGAACTCACACCACAGGGCACTGGAGCCCCTGGATTGACTATTACCCTGAACTGCCCCCAAGATGGTGGCAGTGCCTCACGATTTTCCCACGAGCTGGCTCTGCCCGTGTTCCCAGCAGCTTCAGTGTGCGCCAGTGAGACGGAAGCAGACTGACTTGGTCGCACTGGGCAAGTCCGAGACTAACCAGGAGGCCCACATCCTTTGGGCGTCTTCCAAGCTGCGTTTCTGTGCATGGAACCTAATGGACACTGTCACTAAATGAATAATGTTCCCTTGGGGAAGAAGCCTCTATGTCCCAATGGAATCCACCTCTGGGAAGATGTGATGTCTGCACATTCAAGAGGCACGAGTGAAGATAATGTTCCAGAGATGTTCTTGGGCCAAAGTCCTTAGAGCAGCGGTTCCCAACCTTCCTAATGCCGCGACCCTTTAATACAGTTCCTCATGTTGTGGTGACCCCCAGCCATAAAATTATTTTCGTTGTTACTTCATAACTGTAATTGTGCTACTGTTATGGCTTAGGCGACCCCTGTGAAAGGGTTGTTTGACCCCCAAAGGGGTCGCGACTCACAGGTTGAGAACCGCTGCCCTAGATCCATACGGAAAAGGCGTCGGGCCAGCACCGGGACCATGAGTGTGCTCAGATGTGCTGAAACAGGAAATGCCACTCCCACCTGGACTTGGTATTTAGGGAACTTTGTCATTTAATAAGAACTCTATAGAATAATAAAAATGATCTTTTGCATTTGTACAGCACTTCACAGTTTACAAAAACTTACTCATTATTCTAACGGAGCTGTATGGGCAGGTCTCCTTGCCGAGCATGCAGGGTATTGAGGCTCACACAGTGAGATGTGGGAGAATTGTATTAAGCCCAGGCTCCCCTAACTCTTGATTCCTTGTGTTGGTGGCACATCTGGCCTTGAATGGGCGCTCTGGTAGGTGTGGGAGCTGCCATCGGGTCCTCTGAGCTAGAGTCCTAGGGAGGCGGGGGAAAGAAAGGGTGAGCTT